TATCAAAGTATCGCAACGGAAAAACCAAACATAAGTCTTAAAAATAACGTAGTTTAGAAAACCAATAAGTCAAAGCTTACAAACTGGAATCATAAAGGCCCTTAATTAAAAACAAACCAATATTCAAAATCCCAAGACATAAATGAATAACAAAACATAAATAAGTTCAACACAAAAAACGAATACTCTCAATCACACTAATCTCTTGACATTGCGTATGCCAAATCCCTGAATTTCACATCATCAAGCTAACCTGTGCAATACTGCTGAAAGGTGAAGGCCATGACCAAAAGAAAACACACAAAAGCACGCAATCAGCAAAGCTGAGTACATACAAGCTACAATGCACCAACTTAGCATGCTCAACTAATTAAAACAAATAACATTCAACATAAATTCATTAACCAAGACTCCACACCAAATAGTTCAATCAACTCAACATACTCACTAACCAATTCCAATCCACTTGACCCTTTATATTTAATTTAATTAATTTAATTTGGAGTAAGCAATAGACGAGGTTGTCCAATCCACCAAACCATTTTGGTCTCAAATGACCATTTAAAATAAAAGTATAGCGCGATGCAAGAATGGGCGCGACTCCATTCTCACAAAGTTAGTCTAGGATCCCATCTAACTTTCATTATAAAATAAAAGTGTAAATACCAAAAGAAAAGAGGACATGTTGATCAAACAAGCCTCGGAAAGCCACGGGCTACCACCATGTACCCCAACCCATAATTGTCAATACTCTAGAAGTGTACGCTTTCTAGAGTTTTATTGCTCATCCATGTTTCACTTTACGTGATTACAAGTTTAATTAATAGCCGACTCATTCAAGTAAACCATACATACTAATCATACATATAATCCACTTTTAATCTTATTTAGGACAACGATGATCACATCACAAATTGACCTTTGATTCCTATGAATTCCAAAGTATCCAAAATTGTTGAACATAGTAAACCCACCTAGCCATTTCGGCTTAATCCACCTTTACTCAACATACTAACAAGTCATGCTTTAGTAATAAATAAAATAATAATAACCTCATGGAATAATTAATTAATTTATTCCATTTAAACCATTCAATTTCAATTCTTCAATAATCCAAATGTGGTTAACAAACCAATCCAATAAAAATATGCTTGTATCAACATTCCATACAAACAATTAATCCATTATAATTCAACATACTTGCATCCATAATTCCATACAAACATAATCAATTCACCAAAACATGTCTCATAAATATAAGCACATGAATTAATTCAATGTTTAACCAAACAATTTCCATCCAAGAGTTCTCTAAACATGAAACTAAGTTCTTTCCTTTTGGTACCTAAACATGATACTACTTACAACGAAATAGACATGTATGTACCTCGTGTAAACAATCCTTTGTGCCACTTTTAATCACTTAAAAGTCTCCTAGGGAATAATCACCTCCTAGAAAACAATCAATAATCAAATATTAATTCCCAAACTAATTCCAGCAATATAATTTGATTAAAAACTCCTTAAAACATCTTTTAAAACATGTTTTTATGCTTAATTAATGATTAGAAATACATTAGGAACAAAAGCCCCAATTTAATTGTTCATAAGAACCCTAAAATCCCAATTTCAATAAAATTAAAACCCTAGGTTTATAAATTATAAAATCTGAAAATTATACAACACTAATAATTTGAAAATATGAATTTAAACTACCAAAATATAATTTTTCATACTAGTAAAACTAATTTCAAACAATTAAAAACCAAAACCCAAAAATCAATTACATAAACATTATAAAAATAATAATAAACAAAGGAGGAAGAAGGGGGAAAGGCCATGGTGGCCAGCTGGTGGCAGAACGCCGGCGAGCAGTCTTGGGCGGCAGTGAGCTTTGCTCACGCAAGAAGGAGGAAAGAAAAAGAATGAAAAGAGAAAAAAGAAAAGGAAAAAGAAAAGAAAAAGGAGGGAAAGAAAAATAAAAGGGAAAAGAAAATAATACTAACCTTTTTGTGTGGGAAAAATTTGGGGATTCATGGGGTACTTATAGGAGAGAAGGTTGTAGGGTAAGTAGGAAGATTGGGCCTCGTGAAAATAATGGGCCAATTAAATAAATAAAATGGACTGGGCTTTGTTTGTATGGGCATAAATTGTAAAATGAAGGTTCATAAAATAATTTAGTTTAAAATAATTTTTGACCCAAATTAATAATTTGAAACTTGTAAAATTAAATTCTGGAAAATACAAATAAATATTATATATAAACTAAAATTTCATTTATAAAATATTTAAAAATACGGGGGATTACACGAAATTCCTGTGCATAATAATAAAAAGGAAAATACACTCTACTCCCAGTAGAAGTTATGGTTAAATATAAAACCCCATAACACTCCCCATATGTCCATACTAGAGGTATATATGTTGCAAGAGTTTTGGTGCGTAATCTATTTCACTTTACGTTGTTTACATATTTTAGACTTGGTGATGACTCTCAATCCATAACACAATCAATCATCATAAATCATTCAAGCAATCAAACAATACCAATTTAATTCTTGACTAATTAGTGACCACATTTAATTTAATGTTGAACCCTTTTTAATCCACCTCGGCGTTATATAACACCTTAAGCGCATAATGCACCACAAATCCTATCCCCTCAATGTATAGAACACCTTAAGTGCACTTAGGCACCAAAATGTATTTAAATCCTCGTGTACATAAACACTTAAATAGCTCATTTCCATGCTTATAGCATCAATTAAAATTATATGAACCATAATAAAATTCCCTTTCAATATTTCAAACTCAATTAAACATGCTCTCAATCATGCCAATAATAAAAGTGTGGTTCATAATCAACATGCCAACATAATTAATTCCAATCAATAAATCACCTCAAATAATTCATACTTCACAAATCAATCAGACAATCACCAAAATCAATCCAATTAACAATTTCAACCAATACCTATCATGATACTATCTTGGAATTAATTAAACAAAGCCTAGCATGCTTCTACACACTTAAATAATTACCGAGTACACGAACGTACCTCGAATATGATCTCAAAATTGCCACGACTACACAAAATCACTCACTTGGAAGTCTCCTACAACCCAAAATTACAAAGAGACATTAATACCCATTCATAATAAATTTTCAGCAATGTATACACTCTTTAAATCACTTTTAAACCTTCTAAAATATGCTGAAAATTAATTTAAACCACCTACTTTTATTCCCAATTAATGGGTAATGAAAAATCTTTTCAAAAAACATAATTCTAGCTTCTACATAAAAATTCCAGCATTATAAAAACTCTTAAACTTGCTGTAATTTAGTTTAAGAAACAGTAATTTCAATAGTTTTAATCACCTACAATCAAATTCCATCAATAAGCATTAATTTAGAAATCTAGGGTTTTCAATTTGGGGCTTTTTAATTCAAAAATCAAATCTGAAAATTATATACATATTAATCATTATTAAAACATCATAAAATCATCACACACACCCAAAAACAATAATTAATCAAAGCTAGATTGAATTTAAAAACAAAAGAGAAGTTTTTTTTTTTTTTTTTTTTGTGTGTGTGTGTAAAAACCGAACCGCACAAAGGGGGAAGGAGGGGAGAGTGGCCGGCGCCACCTCCCTGCGACTGCTGCTACTGCCGCCCTGTGGTGGTGGCAGTCGGCCACCAGTGGTGATGGTGGTGCGTGCGTGTGAGGTGAGAAGAGGGGAGGGGGAAAAATCAAGGGGAAAGAAAAATAAGAGGAGAGAGAAAGAAACTTTACCTTTGGGTATTCTCCACCTTGGACAAAGTTTATTTTGCTCATAAGATGGATATTTATACTCTCTCTCAAAACCCTTCTAACTTGATTTCCCTTTTTTACCCTTAATGATTCTTACTCCCATTCTAAATGGCATTTGACTTTCTTTAAAATTCCATTGACTTTAAAAACTTTCTTTTAATTTTAAATATGCCCCAAAGTTTCCAATTAATCAAATAAAATATTTCCAAAATAAATAAATAAATGAAAATGGATTTTAAATGAATATAAACTTTTTAAAATTATTAAAATACCATAAATAATTCATTTTAAATTATTTAAATACCTCAAAAAATAATGTTTTAAATTAATATACGTATAAAAATACGGGGTATTACAGTGGGTGACTATAAAATTCTTTTTTCAAGCACTAGGACTAAATTTCTCCAAAGGAAAAGCCCTTTACCCTAAGACCCAAACAAACACCAATACTACCACAAGAACAAAATGCAAAGACGTTTCATACTTCCAAATCACCATAGTGAAATTCACCGTAAAGAAGAAACAGAGATTCGACCCCTGGTCACACATTTAAAAGTCGGAAATTAGGCAACTGTTCTAGCCACCTATCTCATATGCTTTGTATATAGATGTATGTAATAGTCCTATAAGATAAGCACACACACCAAATTCAACACATCGTTAGTGTTGGACCACGCTAGGAGTATTGAATATAAGCATCCACCGCCCCCACCGGCCCACCCCCACTCTATAACAACCTAGTTGAGTCAGGGCCTAACTAAGTTGGGACCTCAACTTCACTTAATTACATTGATACTTTAGAGTTTGGGAATTGAGGCCATTCCTTCAGTTTGGAAAGCGACTAACATATATCTTCAGCATTGGATTTATTTACTTAAGCTATAAGATCTTTTTTCATATGGTTCTATTATTATCCGTTTATGATGCTAATTTTTTGCTATTAGAGAGCCCGAAAGGCTGTTTGTTCATGGCGAAATTGATATATGTGAGACTATTACAGTTACCATAGGAGTATGAGCAAGTTTCTTCAAAAGAGCTGATCCATGGCTTTAGAATACTGTCATTATTCGTAAGAATCATAACTTGTAATTTCCATGTTACGGAGTATATTATACACCCAGCCTATTGGGTGAGCAAGAAGCTCACTATCATCCCCTGACATAGGGGGATCATTATGCTTCGTATATCTTTTCAAAAAAAAAAAAAAAAAAGGATACTATCGCTTTCTATCAATAAATTTTAGCATAGCTCCCTAAATGTTTTTTACAAAAGTTTCTACACAACTATAAATGTTAGGAGACCAGGAATCCAGAAAGTTTTAGCTTCCTCATTGTAAATGCTGGATCTAGAACAGCTGTTTACTAAGGGTATTGGCTTGTTTTTGACATGAAAAGTGAGTAACCTTACCAGTTACCATAACTTGCTCTGATACTCGGAACTCTTCAGTAATGAACAACCTCATATATGTGGACCCACATGCACCTTGAGGCTTGTATCAGGTTTTGCATTAGAATATAGCGTGCTGCGTCCTATGAATGTTCAAGAAATTTCTGTCTCCTAATTCTTAAAATTGATCAACCACGGTAATTTCCTGTGGCTTGCTCAGGATGCTAGCGTCTGCTGGTTTTGTAGACAGCATATGCCAGCAGAAGTGGTATTGAGAGAGAATAAACTGGGAAATGTAACAACGGATTCATTTCATAGGCTTTCGCCAGCAGCTTGCAACTCTGTAACACAAAAATAAGTATAGAAAATTAAAATGGATAATGATAAGTGGGAATGAAAGGTGAGAAAGCTCCCAGAACAAACACACAGAAAAGGTTAGGAGAGGTTAAAAGACTTAAACTGCTAAAGGAGGTACATGATAATACAAGAAAAAGGCAATTTAAGGCAATTTTATTAGTGACATTCATGAATGAAGATATGCCTAGGCTATTACTGAATAAATTTTAGGCAATTTTATTAGAGGCAATTTTATGATAATACAGCTAATTACCCTCACATATCATCACTGAATTAATTAAAGGAAATTTTGTTAGAGACGTTCATGAATGAAAATATACATTAGCTAGTATTATTTTTCTCCCCCTTCCTTTGTTTTTCTGAACAAAGACGTCGCCTAATTCAGTTTATTCAGCAGAGCTGAAGAAAGTCAGACAAGCAGGTCAGAATTTTCTGGAGGAAGGGTTTCAAAGTTCTATTCTCATCGGCCTAGCTTTTTCACTAATTTTGAATATTAGTTCATATAAGTTTTGTGGCCAATAATTTTACACAAGTAAAAGTTTGGTACCAATCAGGTTTAACCCGAATTCTAATAACAGCTACAATATATTCTAATGGGTTTACATGAGTTAGGTAAAAGAGAGCACAACCAGAGACAAATTTCCAAGGACGCAGCTGAGAGAAGAAATTAGAGTACGAGGAAAGGGGTCGATACCAACTATAATACATGTACCATGACATTAATACAGCAGAAAATACAACATAAACTAACTAATCAAAAAGTGCATGTTAAGAAAAGGCGAGAGTTTTCAGAAGAATTGCTGAAAAGTTACCTTAAAATGCTTGTAGAAGATCGCCAGACAAGCCACCATAGAAACTCTCCTGATCAAGAGTGTACCAATATAAAACTTGGAAGATCTATGATTTTGAGTGTTACTGTGTCTAGATTTCAGGGAATCTTTACAATGATCATCTTCCTTCTTACCTGAAAGTGCTAAAAGGTGTATTCTATATATTTCACTTTCCATAGCCAATCCCACGGCCATTAGAATAGAAGGAAAAACTACAAATACCAAATGAGGGATGACTATCACCATTATATCTGGAAACCCAAGGAACTCCAATTTTTTACCCATCTCTGGATGCTTCACTACCCAGCCCCTGTAAGTCATATACCCCCTTTCACCACCATCAGTAAATAATTGCCCGGAAAACCAAGGACATAGAACAAGGTAGAACAAGTAACCTAGAAATCCAAGCCACACTGAGCGCAGCTTGTACAACTCTGTCAAGACCCATCCAACACCATTTTTAAATTTTTTGTCAGTATAGAAATTCTGTAATGTGTACTGTTTCTTGAAAAGAATTAACAAAGCCACAGGGAGAAGAAGAATAAAGAAGGAACACCCAACAGAAAGCCATAATATTGGAAGATACAAAGCAGCCCACTGGCAACCCATGACCATAAACTCCTTCCATGTCCAAGACAGAGGACTAGAAAGACCATTTATTGAGAATGGCCTCAACTCAGTCAAGGTTGATCTGCCTCTTACGTCAATGGCTTCTATCTGCAGCCAGTATCTTTCTGGAGATGGGTCCTGAAACGCTTTGAAATTCCAAGGTGCTGCATAAAGAGCTCCTCTTGAGGAGCTATCCTTGATCTCCGTCATTGATTCCTCCAAAACTAGAACAAGATTTCCAAGCTCGGAGTCATAAGCACGAGCCACTACTGAGATGATTGGAGATGATGAAAAGACCAAAGCTCTTATGGTCATGTAGTGTGAGGGGTCCAATGATTGATGTTCAAATTCGGTAAATTGAGATGATGCCAATGTAAAGCGTGAGTCTAGCGGAAAAGTGGGTAAGATGATAGTTTTTTTAGTACCCGATTTCAAGTTGATATCTACAAATGAAGCATGACCTCTATCAATAGCCAAAATACGCATGGCTCTATTTCTCCTCCAGTCACCCATTTCCCATTCCCAGAATTCCTGGACTTTGGATGATCCATTCGAAGAATTCTTGGAGGATGTCTGTTGCATATTTAGCTGCATGAGATCATTACTTGGTCGGTGAAGCCGTTTCAAATTCTTGCCAAACCTCGTGTGGAGATGTCCACATAGGTAAGCAGATATTGAATGTTTGAGAAAAACATTTTTTAGGGTCCTCCCAGATTCTGAGGTTGCTGAAAATGAAAGAGGAAAATGTCCAAATGAGATCTTTACCACTGGGTTCTTTGGATCAGCACCCCATTTTGATAGCTCAGAATCCAGCTCCGCTAATAAATTATCAGTCGGATGCCCAAAAAGATTGGTTGGACCTCTGAGGCCAACAGCCATGGTGATGTCAATCCCAACAAATAGATGCCTTCTATCTTCTGTCTGCATGAGACAGCACAAATTTTATTACACAAAGTTTTGTAGAGTTAAAGATTGTCAAAAGTACATCAAAGTGAAGCAGCCTTCAGATGTCAGTTTGTCATCAAAATTGGAAGAACCACAAGATACTATATTTTTGTCTTGATCCTACTTTGATTACAGATTGTTTTCATATTTTCTTTTAATGATTCACCTATAATCAATAGAAAAAAAGATTGAAACCACATTCTTAAAATTATCTATGCCTAAAATAAATTCAACTTGTGATTAATAATCTCAGAAAATGTTGGCAAGAAGTTAACCTGAAGTGTGACACTGTTTACATGCCCAGTCCTTCCTGCTTCAGCATTTAGACTGTAGTTTGAAAAGAAATCAAAGGTGCCACCAACGGATGGCACACCAAAATTATCATGATTGCCTCTAAGATCATAGAAGATGCTCTTGTCAAGTCCACTCTTCTTGACTACATCTGCCATCACATCCCGGTATTCCACCCACTCTTTTTCATTTTGTTTCATGTTTGAGTGATCTTTGCTCTTCCCATCTAGTTGCAATAAAAGCAAGTATCAGAAGCCTTAAGGTCCTCCAACGAATATTATATCTAACATAAGGGATTAAAAATTTACCCAACAAATTGAGCAAACAGCACACCAGATAAGGAAACAAATGCCTAAGGTTCACTAAAACATAACAATTCCTTTATTTCTATATCAGTTCACCAACCTCTCATTTCGTAAATTGCCAATTATATTGCGATACACCGTCCAAAACTACAACCATATACCTCTGAACTGATTTGCATAGCTGGTGAATGCATCTATTCAACCAAAAAGCCATAATCCATTATATCTTCAGAAGTTCAGAGTCTATCAATTAATATCACATATAATTTCCGTATCAGTTCACCAAGCTCCCATTTCGTAAATTAACAAATAAAACGCGATACCACCTCAGTCCAAAACCACAACCTATATATTTTCGGAGTTCGCATAAAAAATCCTCAAATTAAGAAGGTAACGATCACACATTATTTCGCCATAATCACAATGATTAATATCAACCACAACTAACTATGTCAATAATCAACCAAAACCAACAATAATTAACAATGTATGATCTCAACAACACTAACAATGTCAATGTCTCATGAATGCATAATCATTTCATCTTTAACAACAAATCAAACAACTCTTTGATTTCATAAATAAAACCGTACAATTACACCAACCTACACTACAATTCTAAGAATCCCCAAACCCAATTCTAAAATCCAACTAAACCCATTAAAAATCAAAGCAAACCCCACAAAAAACAAAGCTCAATAACATCAAATTTTAACAAAAATGGAGAGAGAAAGACGGCGAAAAAACCTGTGAGATCGCCGGTGATAAGAACAAGAGAAGGGTTGATGACAGAAAGATAAGGGCTCACCAATTTCTTAAAATCAAGAGCTCTATCTGGGTGATGAACACTGAAATGAAGATCAGAGAGTTGAACCACCCAAATCACTGAATTTGGGCCTCCTTTTACTTCTATCAATCTGCTTGAACTTGAGTTTTCTTGCCCTGAAAAAACTACCGCCATTAACGAAAAGATGACGAGGATTTTAATGGTGATATTCGCCATTGTTTTCTTCGTTGTCTTTCCTCCGGCTAACTTTTCCCGCCGGAGCTGTTGACTTCACGCTAACTCTGGGACGTTGGTCAGGTTTTTGGGTTCATTGTTTTTGGGTAAAGTCAATGAATACTCGTAGTTGTTACTCCGTTGTTAGGGGTAGAGGTGTCAATTTGAGTCATTTGGTCAGATATAATTGGATTGGTTTTGGTTTGGATTAAGACATAATAATTTGAGCTTTTTCCCAAATTAAAGTCAAGAAGAACCGCAATTCCCAAATTGCAGCCAAAGTTTTAAGAATTCCCAAAGTACCGTCCACGTCACCGGTTCAGGGGGAAGAAATTTTAAATCCGGTCTACAGCAAAACCGCTACCTGAAGTAACCGCTACCTGAAGTAGCGGTTTTTACTAATAAACCGCTACTTCAGGTAGCGGTTTCTTTTTAATAAACCGCTACTTCAAGTAGCGGTTTTTGTTTAATAAACCGCTACTTCAAGTAGCGGTTTTCTAGCAGGTATAATTTCCTGATTTCACTTTCCTCTTTCATTTTCGTTTTCTAGCAGGTATAGTATGTTAGGCTTGCTGGGTTTTACGGTGTACATAGGATTTTGGGAGGAGGGTTTTTGCTTGATCGATCTCTTCTTACGGCGTTGGTTGAGAGGTGGAGGCAGGAGACACATACTTTCCACCTAGTGGTAGGTGAGGCCACCATTACTTTACAGGATGTCTCCGCCATTCAGCACGTGCCTTCCGTCCACCGACTCCTTCTCAGCATACTATCATGACATCTCCTCCACTAGTGCATCGCCAGTATCAGAGAAACCGACGGCGTAGCAACACTACGTCTGGGGTTGGAGTTGGCCTGGATGACATTCCAGAGGAGACAGCTGCATCATCTTCATCGTCACCTCATGGGAAGAAGCAACGCCCGAGCTAAGTGTATATTTTGGAACTAAACTAATTTTTTTGTAAATGCTTAGAATTGGATTTTGTTATATTTAATCAATTGAAAAATATTCGACTTTGCAATTTCGACTTCCTTAGATCTTCATAAACTTGTTATTTATGGTGGTTGTGTTGAAAATATGCTATATATCTCATGTTTTACAGGTACACAACTTGCAGGGTTTTTTTTTTGAGTGATTATGCAAGTTTGAAAAAAAAACCAGTCCAGGGTAAACCGCTACTTCAAGTAGCGGTTTTTCAAAGTAAACCGTTACTTGAAGTAGCGGTTTTCCAAAATAAACCGCTACATAAAATAGCGGTTTTTTGTAAACAAACCGCTACTTCAAGTAGCGGTTTTAAACTAAGAAACCGCTACTTGAAGTGGCGGTTTATTGCAAAGAAACCGCTACTTCAAGTAGCGGTTTACCCTGGACCGGAAAAAAAAAAACCGGTTTTTTAACCAGTGCTTACGTGGACGGTAGAATGGGAAAATAAAAAGATTTGGCTGCAATTTGGGAATTGCGGTTCTTCTTGACTTTAATTTGGGAAAGAGCTCTAATAATTTATTGTATCAATCTGATAATTAAGACATACTTCGTATTTATTTGACGAGCTCATAAACCTGTAAAGACATTGCAATTTGCAAACGATAAACTTACACAAACAATTAGGAAAGTAGGTTTACTAAAATCACTAAACATGCTAACATAAGCCCTTTTTTTTTAAATAACATAATGCTAATTTAGAAAATTGGTAATTCATTACTTTTCTAAATAAATGAAGTACGAATTATTACTTAACATACTACAAAATTGACTTTAATAAGTTGACTTTTTGCAACATTTAAGTTTTTTGTTTTTTTTTTTGACAAGTAATTTATTTTAACCAGTGTTAGTAATTAATATATACTGTAAAATCTAATATTATATAAATAAAGTAGACATTTTTGGAGAGCATTCGAAGTGCCACGTAAGAAACATACTTTTTTCGACCAATAAGAAGAAAGATTTGTATTTTATTTTTGAATTGTAAATTATGTCGCCACCTAGATATAAGTAACGAATTAGATTTGATATATCTAAAATTTTAATGACACGTAGATTATAATCCCCGAATTAAATTATTTTAATGAAAAAAAAATTAAAGTAAAAATATAGGAAAAGATAAATTTATTAATTCAATACTACGAGTATAAGAAATCCAAAATAAAATATACTAAGAAATATTTAAATGATAAATGCTTATAATAAAGTTTGATACCTATCATTATAAGATAAATTTTAATAGTATTTATGATAAGAAATACAAATTGTTCGTTAATTATAATTAAATTAAAATTTGTGATACCTACCATTATAAATTGACACATCATACGACACAAACAAAATTTCGTATCAATAAAAAACCCCATCAAGCGAATTTTATGTTAGTAATTTTGTGTTAATTTTTGGTCATCAATGGCCGGGTAATTTTTAGCTTATTTTTTAAAATCCTATGTTTAAATTAGTATTTCTAATTATTACTTACATTGTATTAATTTGGGATACTTAACGATTATATGTTTATGTTTTATTTCTAAATGTTTTTTTACATGCAGATCTAACACATCATACGACACAAATAAAATTTCGTATCAATACAAAACCCCATCAAGCGAATTTTGTGTTAGTAGTTTTGTGTTAGTTTTAGGTCATCAATGTCCGGGTAATTTTTAAAATCTTATGTTTAAATTTACATTTGTAATTATTGGTTACATTGTATTTATTTAGGATACTTGACGATTATTTGTTTATGTAATCGCATACGATTAGATGTTGTATACTTAATATATGGGCGGTTTGGTTTTTTTGGGAGATGATGAAAAAATTTCGATGCATAGATTTGGTTTTATATCGCAACAAATTTTCTTTTATTGGTAAATATATTGATTATTTTATATAAATGTAAAGATTTAATTTATATCTATTTCAGTTAGGCTACTATTTTTATCCATTGATGTAGTAGGTTGGTTGTAGACGAGGTTGGTGATTCTATCGAAATAAAAGATATGGTAAAACAGTGAATAATGATTTAGGATTCAAATTATTAAAAATTTATCATTTCACATTAAAGATTTTAAATAACGGAAAAAATATCATATTTACAATTTATTTATATTTAATAAATTCATTATAAATTATAGTTAAAAATAAATAAATATTAAACTTTTGTAATTCTGTCTGAAATTATTAAATACAATAAATCAAATAATTAAAAAATTTAGATGAAAAAACCGTGCATCGCACAGGCTTCCATCTAGTAAAGTAAAAAATATTGTCATGTACTCATGTGGATATTTGTTGAGTTCGTTTCTATGTATAATGTATAAATATTAAATTTTTTATAATTTATACTTATTCATAATTAAGAAAATAATTATTAAAAATTCTATATTAAGGGTGTGTTCTCTTCACCTAATTGGATCTAAACTTATCTGAACTTATTAGACCTTATTAAACTTATTATACCTTATTGAACTTATTAAGGGATTTGTTAAACATCGCCCACAAATTACTACATAAAGCCCACAAAATTCACTTGGTTTGACAATATTGCCCTTAACCTAAAAAAAAAACACTCACACTCTCATCGCTCACACTCTCATCGCTCATCTTCTTTGAACCTCTCTAAAAAAAAAAAAATTCAAACAACGGCAATGTCGAGGCGGCAAGGCAAGGAATTGGCGGCGGCGGCGGAGGGAAGGAGGTCCCAAGGAGGCAAGGTACAATTTGTAAAAAAAAAAAAAAAAAAAAAAGGAAAAACCGCCGTGACGGAGGCGGGGCGCCCTGGCTGGACGCCCAGCAAGCGGTGGTGGCGCCAGCTGCAGACGCCGCCACCAGTAGGCTGGCGCCTAGGCTGGACGCCATAGCCACGGTTGTGGCGTTTATTCAAGGCGTCGCAGCCGTGGCTTTGGCGTCCAGCCCAGGCGCCAGCCCACTGGTGGCGGCGTCTGCAGCTGGCGCCACCACTGCTGGCTGGGCGTCCAGCCAAGGCGCCCCCCCCCTTTTTTTTTTTTTTTTTTTGAAATAAAATATTGTTTTTATTTTTTATTTTTATTTTTTTTTTGTAATATATTTTTGAATTGTTTTTATATTTTGTTGTTTATTTTTATAAATTTTTTCAATTTTGTCATATTTTTTCTATGTTTATATTTTGTTTACAATTATTTGTATGGTTTTAGTTTATTTGATTTGGGAGTGGTAGCTATTTTTCGTATAAATTTTTGTATGTTTATATATTTTAAAATTTTGTGTAGAATTCACTGGGTCGTCATGGTGCGGGGAAGAATGTAGAGCTTCTTAGTAGAAGCTATTCAGTGGAGAGGTCGGGGCATAGACATGTCAGATCCCGTGGTATTTCGGCCTCAGCTCGTAGAGAACGGATCCACCGTCGGGATGAGGATGACGATGACGATGATGATGCTGAGGAGGGTGACCAGGAGGAGGAGCAGGAGGAGGGCGCAGATGAGGATGAGGATGTGGACGATGGCAGTGGACCGTATGATGATTACGGTCCATTCAGTCAGAGGGTTGATGACATGTACGAGATACATATGGTGGAGGTGCGTAAGGGTAGGGGTGGTAGGTTTGTTAGTAGATCTGGCACATCATCTGCGTCCACTGTATCTGGGGCAAGCAGGAAACGGTCGAGGGCCGGTAATGATTCTTGGGTTGTTAGGAGTGAGGTGCCCGGTGGGCCTGTTGACGAGAGTGTGATTCCTAGCTTTCTAGGACACATAGCTGCCCGTATTTGGGAGGACCAGGAGAGGCCTTCAGTTACGGGGTTGTTGAAATGTCATACCCGGGAAAAGACTTGTAGCTTTTTGCGTACATGGACTGAGGCTTGGCCGGCGGAGAGCGAGATGTTCGAGCGACTGGAGGGCACTGGGGTGAATCACGTTCCTGCCACCATGCACGATAAGATTGACAGTACGCTGATCACGGCTTTCATTGAGCGATGGCAGCCGGATACAAACTCTTTCCACCTTCCGTTCGGTGAGATGACGATCATGTTACATGACGTCGAGGCCATTCTGGGGATTTGTGTTGAGGGTAAACGACTTTGTGCTGTGGCTGATGCGGATCAGGCAGATTTGTTGGCGGAGTTGTTGGCGGTGGACAGGGCTGCACTGTACACCGAGGCGCTAGGTGTTTGGGAACACGGAGGTGTGAAGATCGCATCCGTGTTGCAGCGGTGTTTGTACCCCAGTGCACGTAGGACGCACGACGCACAGCTGAGTGCTTATGTTTTTCTACTCCTCGGATGTACCTTGTTTCCGGATAAGAGCGGCGGAAACAAGCTCAGGCCACGCGACATCGTGGAGGCGTGTGACCCCGATAGTGTAGGCCAGTTTTCCTGGGGATCGGCTACGTTGGCGTATTTGTATCGCCAACTAGGATTTGCGAGTCGGGCTGACGCGGCAGGTATCACTGGGTGTCTGACTCTATTGCAGACCTGGATATACGAGTACTTTCCTGCATTGCGACCACATCGTGACCCAGTTCCTATTGATAGGGGATGCCGCGTGCTTGTGTGTGGAGTCCGCGCTCGGAGAAGAAGTCCGTTGACCGCCTCCGATCGATACGGTTATTGCTGGACAGGCTGTCCCCCTTAGAGGTAACGTTTATAAATTGTTTCTACATTTTATTATTTGCACATATTATATTCATGTTATTAAATTTTAAAACTATGTGCAGGTGAACTGGATGCCTTTCGGCACGAACCCTAGTGTTAGGGTACCCAGGACCCTGTACACGGGACTCATTCAGTATCGTGAGATCGTCGAGGCGTACATGCCCCAACGTTGTCTTCGCCAGCTTGGATTTGTCCAAGTTGTCCCTCCTCCCCCGGCATGCCCGATGAAGGCGGCCCGACTTGCATCGTCGAGGGACTACGTCGTGCAATGACCGGATATCAAGACCGGGACGTGGGACCAGTTTCCGATGGTGGCCCGCTTATGGACTGCGGAGTTGCAGCGGCCGCCCTCTGGGGTTACTCCCATGTGTGACCATTACTACATGGAATGGTTCAACCGGTACTCGCACCCGAGGTTGATCGCAGATCTCGACCACAACGATGATGATTATGTGTCACCGCCTACTGCCATGGAAGCGGTATGTCTTATATTATATTTATCGTTGTCTTTTAATTAAGTTTTATATGTTGTTATTGTATTTCATCTTCTGTTTTTTATTGTATGCAGTGGATGGGAAAGATAATGCAGGACGTACAGAAACTCTCTCTTGAGAAGGACAGCATGAGTGCAACAGGGAGAGCTGTTGTTGATAGTCTGGAACAGACCCTTGCGCAGTGGGAGTCGTCGTCGAGGAGGGATTACTGATGGTTTTGTCATTTTATTTATAGAGCATTATGTTGGACATTATGTTGTAAGTTTGTAACATTTTAGATTGTTCTTTTAGCTTCCAACTTAAACATATTATCAGTGCTGTTTTTAAATTTTGATATAACCGTTCGTGGATCTGCGCAAGTTACCCATGCAACATATAGAATGCAGTAAGCAATACAATATAAAAGATTAATGTTCTCATTAAAAGAGCAACGTACAAATAAGATTACAAATAAAGAATGTAAACATGAAAAACTAAAATGCAGCTAGGGTGTTCCATTCGTGGATCCGGTCATGATATAGCGCATCCCAACCCTCTACGCTCGCTGTGCGAATGTTGTACCACCGAGGTATAATCGGTGGCACTGGAAAATCGGATGACATGTCTAGTCGGATGAAATGTCTGTATGACGACCCAAGAAACGCAATAGCTAGCTCTCTGACCGGTGTGGTGACAGTCTCACGCGACCGCCAAGGGAGAACCGTGGTACAAGGATAATAAGCTTGACTATGCACTCCCAGGCCGAAATGCATGACTGCGCATTTGTAAATGTTTGCAACGGCAAACAGATCTAGGGGCGCGTCAAAATAATGATTCAATTGACTTGTTAAGTCTATCGAACAGGGGCTATACATCGTACCATGTCGTCGTTTGGAGTCCTCTAGAGAGTTCCTGATGTCGTTCTTCTGAGTTTCAATTGACTTGTTAAGTCTATCGAACAGTGTATCCAAAGCAGCGGTCGATGAATCAATCCAGTCCTTGGTAGCTCTATGAGCGCTCTCAACTCTACATGTTGTAGTGTTCCCAAAATGAAGTACCTGGTTTGTCCAATATTTGACAAACTTTTCCCTGTGAGGGACCCATTGCTGCATCACATAGCCCACCAGTGCCGGACACCACTGGTACGAATCCCTGAAGTTAGCCAATGCTCGCTCATACGCTTCCTCTGTGGTAGCCTGTAGGATCTTCCGCCACTTACCATTCACCAATCTCTCTGCCATTTCCAAATTCTTCTTGAAAAGGTTGTAGGCTTTCACTTTCACGCAGTTGTTGATGTGCCATGTGCACAATAAGTGGTTCGACTCGGGAAACAGCTCTGCTATGGGGGCAAAGAGACCTCCCTCACAGTCGCTGACGATGGCTGCTGGATGAACATTAGGCCCGATGTAGTTTCTCAGCTTCTCCAACACCCAATAATAACTTGGAGCCGTCTCATCGTTGATGATTGCATGACCAATCAGAAAGTTCTGGTTCGTTGGAGTCATCCCCATGATCTCAACCAGTGGGAACTTGTACTTGTTTGTCTTGTACGTTGAGTCGATCAAAATCACAAATGGCCAAGACTTGATCATATCAGCACAATCAGGATGCACAAGGAAAAGATGAGTCACATCTCAAAATGCGATCCATTCTACCATCCCGTTGAGATTTATGAGTTACTACTACCAAGCAAAATCCAGCTGCAATTGCAACCTGTTTTGCCCAATCAATCGCCTGTTGAGCTTCTTCGAATGGACCATCATGTCCAAATATCCCGCTGTAATCATTTCCGTCTCCACCATATTCCTGCATCAATTATATATTACAATAAATACATTTAACGGATAATACATTTAATTTCTATATTTACACAGAATTAACACAAAAAAAAAAGCATAATTATATATAATCAAACTTAATTTTTATAAAAACCCAATTCGAATTTTCAAACTAAATTTAAAAATATACCATTTCGAATTTTCAAACTTAATTTTAAAAAAACCCATTTCGAATTTTTTTAAAAAATCATTTTCGATTTTTTTTTTAAAAAATAAATAAATAAAAAACAACAACAAAATCAAAAAAGAAAAAAAAAATTAATTTATAAGGGTGGCGTCTGCCAGGGCTGCCACAGCCACTGGACTGGCGCCTGGCAGGGCCGCCTCAGCCAGTAGAGTGGCGCCTGGCCAGGACGCCAGTCTGGTGGTCTGGGCGTCTGGGCTGGACGCCACTCTGGTGGTTCTGGCGTCTGGCTTGGACGTCCAGGCTACGGATTGGGCGTCCATCCTAGGCGCCGGAGCCACTCCGACGGTAAACCGTGAATTTTAACGGTGACTTACCTCGTTTTCCGTCGACGACGACGTACCTACGGCGTCCCCCGCATCTCCGACCTGCCCTCCGGTCTCCCCCGGCGAGCCAGTACGGCTCCACATTTTTCAAACCGAGATTATTTCAATTTTTGAAAATGGGCATAATGGTCACACCAAATCATATTTGTGGGCTTTATATGGTAATTTGCGGGCGATGTTTAGCGTTTTACCTTATTAAACCTTATAGAGTTTATTAGACCTGATTGAACTTATTAAGTTATTGGAACTTATTAGACCTTATTGAAACTTATTGGACTTTATTAAACCTTATTATTAGACTTGATTATAACTTATTAGACCTTATTTAACTTATTGGAATTTATTAAATCTAATTAAACTTATTAGTCCTTGTTGAACTTATTATACTTTATTAAATTTATTGAACCTTATTGTAACTTATTTAAACTTATTAAACTCGAAAGACTTATTTTTATAAGGTGAACAGAACAAGTCCTAATAGGAGTCAGGAGGCAAATAGGTAATGCAAAAGGCAAATTAAAACCGTAAAACGGAATAAACAAAGATTAAATTTTTTTATTATTTTTTTTTTATTTTTGGAAATTACTCCGTATAGGAATATATCTCTTTACCAAAGACTGGTTTACCCTTAACTTTAGTAAATTCTCTCCATCATCTTCAATCTTCCGACCCCATTAAAAAAATCCCACAATTACTTTCTGCCACTCTCTCTCTTTCAAACCATGACAAGTTCCTCCACTCAATCTCGCAAGGTTCTTCTTTTTTCTCTCTTAATAATTTCTATGCTTTAATTTACCGCAATTTAGATCTTACACTCGATAACATTATGCGTATCATGCTCCCGAAATCACGTACAGTTTAAAGCTGTTCATCGTGTTCCCGGGTGTATAATATAATAATAATAATTGCTAATTTACATGTTTATATTGTTAAATTCTCAGGCTTTAAGCAAGATCGCCCAAAATCGACTCCAAAAAGAACTTGTTGAGTGGCAGCTTAATCCTCCCGCTGGCTTCAAACACAAGGTCACCGATAATCTTCAGAGGTATAATTTTTTCATTAATTTTCTGGGGCTTTTTTTTATGATTAAAATATTAAAAAAGTTTTGATTTTTATATGGTATTTGTTTTTATTTTTATTTTTTTAAAAAGATGGGTGATCGAAGTTTCTGGAGCACCTGGAACTTTGTATGCAAACGAGACTTATCAGCTTCAAGTTGATTTTCCAGAGCATTATCCTATGGAAGCACCCCAGGTTATTATTTATTTTTCTAATTCGATTGAACCCCTGGAAAAAAAAAATTGTTAATTTGTGATTACTTTATGTTAAATTATTATTATTATAGTAGTTTATTATACTTGCACAATTTTTAGGTTAGAGTATGGTTTAATTTGTTGGTTTTTGGGGTGTAGGTTATATTTGTACCTCCTGCACCTCTGCATCCTCACATTTACAGCAATGGGCACATCTGTTTAGGTAATTCTTTGTATTGGATAAACTTTTTTTTTTCCCCTTAATGTTTATTTGTTCTGTATATGTGTTTCTTAATCATACATCCGTATCGATTTAGTTGTTGCGTAACTAGTTTAAATTACACTATCTATGTGACGACTACTCTAAGATGGAGAGAGTATGTGAAATTCTAGTACAAATATGTTGTATCTTGTATGTTTGTATGATTATATTGTATTATAGCCGTAGTTGGCTATTTACGGTATTAACAAAGTCGATTGAATTGAATGATGTGTTAGAACAAGATCAACTCTTTCATTGACAATTGACATTGCTCATATATGTTATATATTGTGATTTGTTTTTTTGGGGTTGCGGCTATTTAGGGATATTTGAAATGATCTGGGGTGAAAGTTTCTGTAAATGCATTGACATGTCTTGGTAAGTTAAAAGTATATGATTATGTAGATGAAGAGGGAGATGGGGTGATTTTAGACAATTTTGCAACTTGCAGATAGTGGTGAATGGTGATGAGTTGAGTGTGCACTTGTTGGATTTGACTGAGATTTATGCTTAATTTTTTAAAGTGGATAAACCTAGAATTGGTTTATGAAAGTGATTAATGAAAAGAATAACCTCCAATTTCCATATTTTAGAGGATATTGTAGCGGATTGCTTATTATAACTGTTATGAGATATTTGGATGGGATGAACGGATAACAATGCATAGAAATGCTAATGCTAATGGTTGTTGTTTGTGTGAATCTATAGTTTTTGAATAAAGCATGACTTCTGAGCGCCTATCTTTTGTTTATTTTCTACTGTTTTTGCTGCCTAATAAAAATTTAGTAACAAATCTAATGTTGATTCGGTATAATAAGCCTACACGAGTACACGGCCTCCTATTAGCCTATTGCCCTATTGAATTTTCCTTTATAATTAGTTAGATTAGTACAAGTACTGAAGTACATATATTTCTCCCAATTATTTGAGGTTCCAATCTGATGTTAGATTATGAGCATAATCAGGGCTGTTTTCTCCTGTAGACTTAAATTTGGCATTATCATCCTCTTCACTCCGTTGAAAAATTTGTGCCCCTTTTGTTCTGATAAATAATTATTCAACAAATTGAGTGCTAAGTCTTAGTTTTCATAATGTTCTTTGTGTTGCTCACAAAATTCATACTCCATACTGTTTACAAGGTATATCAAGTGCATGTGTAACCTTATACTTTTCAGTTTCACCTGGGAGAACCGGGACTAGAACAGTGATATGTTTATTCACTCTGTGGCTTGAGCTACATTTTACATGGATCTTTTATTCAATATTTTCATAAAACGAAGGGTTTTTGAATAGAGGATCTAGTTTCTACAAGCCAACACACCTGCAATATCATTTGAAAAATGTATATATGAACCAGCTGGCCCAGTTCATGAGATGGTTTGGAACACTTAGGCACTCGATGCACCTCTTTTATCAGTAAGTAGAATGAATATATTATTTCCATTATGGTTCTAAACTTTACATGAAATAGTCTCTCTACATCATAGGGTTATCTGGCTGCATTCATCTTTGACCTCCCAAACCCTGCTAGAAGCAAGATCCCCAATGTCTGTCATAATTATTGATGTAACAATGTATGATCTTATTCTTGTAGCTTGATAGATGCATTGACTATTGTGCCTTTCTGTAAAGTTGGTGAAGCCCGTATTTCATTTTTCCCTGTCTCAATTTCTATATCTTTATAAACTGATAAAGAAGATATAAGGGCCTCTAATGTGCATTGAATTGTCATATTTTTTTTTACAACCGAGATTGTCATTCTTGTGGATAGACTTTGGCAAATTACATTTCATGCCAAAATATTAGAATATCATAATAGCTATATTTTACATGGGTCTTTTGCTCAATATATTTATAAAATGAAGAATATTTTAATAGAGGATTAATTTTCTACAAGCCAACTACCTGCAATATCATTTAAAAACGTAAAAGGTGCCAAGTAGCTCAGCTCGGGAGATGGTTCGGAACATGTAGCCGATCTATGCACTGAATGCCCCTCTTTCATTAGTTACTAATAAAATTTGTTATTTCCTTTATTGGTCTACGCTCCACCTGAAAGTCATTTACATTTTAGATTTGACCTCCCAAACCCCGCTGCACAAAAATTTCCCAATGGCTGTTGTTATTGTTGCTGAAATAAAGTGTAATCTCACTTATGTAGCTCGATAGATGCATTGACTATTGTGTCTTTCTATAAAGTCAGTGATGCCCATGTTTCAAATTTCCCAGCCTCAGTTTCTATATATGGATAGACTGATGAAGAAGACACCAGCCACTCTTATGTGATTGAGATTGTGATTCTTGTGGATAGGCTTTAAATAATTGTATCTTTATGCTTAGATATCGTAAGATTGTAATATCATAATAGCTTTACCACCTCATTATGCGTTGTTATCGTGCCTTGGATATTTTTTTTGTATTTTACTCATTTTTGGTTTTGTTTACCAATGGATGGTCATGAATCTCATGATATTGATATGTGAAATCTATTTCACAAGTCATTCAAACATTATGTAGGCCATGTTGTAGTGCAAGCTCACAGTCCTTGGTTCTTCCACAAATCGTCGTTGATATTAATCTCCCCTGATTTAGGCTCTTGTGTATTTTGGATGGGACCATTAAGATGATTTGTCTTAAAACTGACCTTGCCAACATATACTTTCTCGTATTGTCTATGATTGCAGATATTTTATATGACTCTTGGTCCCCAGCGATGACAGTCAGCTCAATTTGTATCAGTATTCTTTCAATGCTGTCAAGCTCTACCTCAAAGGTTTGTTGAGTTGCTACCCCTGGCCACACCCCCAATTCCCAGCAGTTGCCATTTGAGCTTTGCTTACTCATATTCTTAAGAAAGATAACTGAAACAGCTTTGTTACTTTTGGCAGCAACGCCCTGCAGACAATGACCGTTATGTGAAGAACTGTAGGAACGGTAGATCTCCGAAGGAGACGAGGTGGTGGTTTCATGACGATAAAGTGTAATATATGAGTAGTGTTTGTCAGACCTATTGAAACACTGTTTTATAGAATTGACTTCTAGGATGAATACTGCCTCCTATCTCCAGGAGATGTTGAAGTGGATGCGGGAGTAAAAAGGATTTATGTTAACCCTCTTGTTTAGCTCAGGGGATGATATGGATAACCTCTAAAATGTGGAAACATCAGATTTAAAGCAATGGCTTCTGATTTAAAAGTATGAGAAAGTTAGCAGGTTCGTTTAATGTTGCTATGCCACTGTAAGGAATCTGAGCAAGCTAACCACAGGAAGTGTTTAGTGCAGATTAGAGTGCAGTGTGCAGGCCATTGAGATATACTAAGTATCCTTTAAGCATTCTTTTTAGGCTTGAAGAAAAGTAAAGATGACGGCCAATTCATGTCAAATTTGTGTGTTATTGTGTCAATAGTTTATGGTTTTAACAATCTTTTGACACATTTAGCAAAAATAATTAAATGAATTAGAACATAGACAGTTTGACACTACAAGTCACTGAGACGTGATAGGCCGTTACCCGGGAGTGACTATACCTAAGGCAAAAATGTACTTTCACGCAAAAGCTTTGCCTGTAATTACTACGCTGTAAAAAAAACTCTCTTTTTGAACAATAATAGTTTTGAACAATAACAGTATAAAAATCAACCATAACAGTATAAAATCAACAATAATGGTATATTCATAAAAAAAATTAACAGTATAATTACAAACTGAAAATATTTCTGTTAAATCGATAACATTTAATGCAAACTCACAAAAATTCCATAAAACAGAGAACATATAAACTCAGATTGGATTTCCAACAACTGTATATAAATCTACAGTAACAACATACAAATAAACAATAACAAAATAAAAAATAAAAATTATAGTATTTAAGTCAACAATAACTATCACCGACAAATAATTTGCGTCATCGTCTTAACCTCTCAAATATCCAAATTCAGCTTATCTACAAAAGCTTGCAAATTCAAGGGAGATAGATCTAAGCTCACTAGCTTAGTGTACTTTGTTTGGACTAGTTTTCCTATGATCGACTCCTCTTGAGTGGATTTGGGGATTTCCTGGTGATATTAATGGTTTTCACCACCTTTTTGGTTTTTACCCCCCACTTTCTTTTTCTCCTATTTTCTATTCCTTTCTCCTTTTTAAATAACCCAAATAATATTTTATATTACCAGTATGGTCCCTTCCTGGTAATGGGCAAGCATTACTTACAAGTCACCTATTTGACCTATATGATTAGATGAAAGATCTTAGCAAAGAAGTGATGAAGCACAATTCTTGCTTCATTTGTTTTGACCAAAAAGAACTAATTAGATCCATTTAAATATTTTTTTTCCAAAACTGAATTTCATCAAATTGAATGAGTTGACTGCATCGATAAATGTCTTATTTGTTGGTTAATTATTGAGTATAAATTGATACAAGTATTATCGCATATGAAAAACCATAAGTTAAATTAGAAACTTAAGAGAAAATTTTTGAAGTTTTTGATTATTTCAATTACTGTTGTGGGGCTAACACGTGAAACTCTTATGATACAAGACCCCCGTTAAGTCTTTTGTCCTTCCAAATGAAGCCCCTGATAAAGAATTTTGTAAATTTTTATTTTTTACCCTTATGGGTGTACTCGTCATGTGTTAGCAGGCTAATATTTTTAGAAGGGAGAGACAGGTGGGGCCGGGGGGGACATAAGGGGGATCACTAGATCATCAATTTGTTGGTTGATCAAACTTATTTATAGTCTAACATTTTGTATCAAAGGGGAAAATAACAAACTAATTGATGTGAATGGATAAAAACAAAGGTATTCGCGAAGTTTCAAGAAATAAAAGACTTGGACCAACATGTCTATCGACAAATGGTCTTATCACTTAATAAGTCAAACATGTATTAGCAACAAAAAATTCTTAATAGTTAAATGATTGAAATTATTTTAACCTACATAATCCAATCAAAACTTTAACCGAAATGTGAAAGTTATAGTTTTGCACATTTTGATCCCACAAAGACATGAAGTTAAAAATTTGAAGATTACTTTGGGAATAGATTTGTGTTACTCCTCTTGCTTCCAAAACGTCTAGCCCAATTTCTTGGGTTAGATTGACCGGCTTAACCTGTGAGGCGTTCTGACCCGACAAAATATAAAAAAGTTACCCCCTACGGCGTGCTCTACTCACCTTTGGCTTTTGCAGTAGAGCCTGTGCCCTGCAGTAACTCCAGTGAGTGTGATATTCCTGGTGTAGTCTGAAAATGGTGTCAGTGGCGCGCTTACTACCATGGCCGGCGATTTTTGATACTCCGGCGATAGTTTCACAGTGGCGCACTCACTTCTCCCACTCTCTCTCCTGTTCAATCTCCTCCTTCCGTTTCCCCAAATACGCCGTGGTTTCGTTCTGCTCCAACTCTCTTATCGCTTCCTCTGACTCTGATGCACCCGATATCTCCCTCCCACAACCTCCTAAACAGGTCCTCTCTCTCTCCGTTGACCAATTTCCTCAAATGGGTCAACTTCAAATATGCCATTTTTTGTTGGGTCAAGTTTTAAATATTCAATATACTAGGGTTTATCCCTTAATACCCTAATTTTGTTAATTGATTTTGTACCCCTTTAAATTTTAATTATTGGTATGCTAATTGTGTATATGTTTTTTGATTCTAAACATAATTTAATATAAATGGTGCTTACAAATTCGAGTTATATGATCCTTCTGAATTTTGATTGTATTGAGTACTGATGACAGGGAACTTTGAAGCCGGGGTTGTATTTAGTAGGGACACCCATTGGTAATCTTGAGGATATCACATTACGGTTCGTTTCCCATTCCGAAATTTTCGAGTTGTTTATTCATTTCTTGTAATGTTGATGCTATTTCTTTCAATGCAAATGTATATCAATCAATATATTTCATTTAAATTTAGTAACTGTGATGTGTTGTGTTTATTTTATTGTTAAATATCCTTGTATTTTGGTCACGTTAGAGTTAGTTTTCAATACATTACTTCAAGCTTTGGCCTTTAAAGGTGATTCATGTGGAATGTTGAAGGTTTTAGTGTTTATGTGCTGTTGTGTTGATGTTAAAGCTGCTGGTTTTGTGTTTGATTGATTGGCACTAGGACTAGCAAATTGATTTTTGTTGATATTTCATGAGCGTGTGGGTTTCTTGGCTTAAATTATTCTTAGCTGTATTGAAATTTTGCCCTTCTCAATTTGATCTTAAATTCTAGAGCGTTGCGGGTGCTGAAATCAGCTGACATGATACTTTCTGAGGACACTAGACATTCCAGAAAGTTGCTTCAGTATTATGGAATCAAAACGCCCCTTGTATGTGTAATGATGGAATTATTGTTTTTGTTTCCTAGATTCAGCTAGTTTGTATCTTGATTGGAGCTTGTTTTGTTTCTAGATGAGCTATCACAAGTTTAACGAGTTTCAGAGAGGGCAAACTGTTTTGAAACGTTTACAAGAGGGTGAAATTGTCGCTCTGATTAGTGATGCTGGGATGCCTGGTATTAGTGATCCTGGAACAGAATTGGTCAGTTGATGAGTCCTTTAATCTTCATTTATGTGTTTATCCCGACTTTTTTCTCAATGCTGGCTAGAATGCTATCAAACCATTGACCTGTTCAACTTGGGAGGGGTGGGATTGTGATGAATTTCATCCTTTGATTTACATTTCAATTTTGCAACCATCTTTATAAGTGAGTGTTTTATACCGTGAATGTCCTTCAAAAGTATTTTGCATTTTGTCCATGATATCATCATCATGGCTAGAATTTCGTCTAATCAACTATAGTTCTTATCACACTTTTTCTCTGTTAACCCAAGTTGCCTTCTACCAGTTTAAAATCAAGATTCTGCTTAATTTAAGGTTTGGTCTGTAACCATAGATTGAGTTGTGGATAATGTTATGAGGAAAACATCATAAATTATTGATTATGCGACTATATTTTTTGTCCACAGGTAAAGCTGTGTGTTGAAGAAAATATCATTGTAGTTCCCATCCCCGGAGCTTCAGCTGTTGTTTCTGCTCTCTCTGCCTCGGGTTTGCCAACTGATGACTTCACCTTTGGTAATTTGCAAACTATCAGGTGTAAAAATCTGTAATTTTTCCTCAATGTAGTTGGGTGGCATCTTATTCCTCCATTCCTTTTGTTGATCTAGTTGGATTTCTTCCTAAGCATGCTGGGTCTAGAAGAGAGAGGCTCTTGCTCTCTGCCAACCAGAGTGCAACACAGATTTTCTTTGTTCCCCCACACAAGCTACACCAGTTTCTTGAAGAAACTTCTTCAGTTTTTGGCGACTCAAGGTAATTGTTTACTCAATGCAAATCAGATGATATCTAATAAAATAGGCAAATGCTGTGTGTACTCTTTGTAGTCAAGGTTGTAATTGGTGTTAAAAATTGTTTCTCAATACATTTTGTTAGAGATTTTATAGTGTGCATGTAAAGGACATGTTGATTTTGCTAGGATTACTGTCCTCCTCAGTGGTTTGTTCTTATCTTCCTTTGGTCCTTCCGATGGTACTCATAAAAAGGACAAGCACCTCTATATTTAATTACTTATAGCATGAACTCTTGTTTAAATATTTAGCTGATAGCTTCTGTTTAGTAATCAAAGTAACTTGATTTGGGTTATGGCAATTGTTTCCCTTGGCATATCAGCTTCATTGGAAACAATCTGTTATTTGGTGGAGGGATTATGAAAAGGGGATAGAAGCGAAAGATGCAGAAAGTGAGAAAGGAGGAGTAAATAAGTGCAACTACTTTGACATTTTATTATTTTATTTTATTATTATTATTATTATTTTTTTTTTTATGAAATGATTGGTTGTGATCATATACTTTGTAATGTTGCAGGAGATGTGTCATAGCTCGAGAAATGACCAAAATTCACGAAGAGGTATGATTCTAGTGAGGGTTTGATTGCTTGATGTAGGTAGATAGTGATTTTTTAGTGATTTAGATGAGTGGAATGTTTTCCCATAATTTTTTGGATCTGATTATAATAGCATTTGTCTGATTGTTTTGAACTTTTGACTTCCATATTACTATTTAGATTGGATTTGGTTTTTTGTCACTGAATTCTAACTGCCATGGGCCTTGCAGTTTTGGCGTGGTACCTTGCATGACGCTAAGGAGGCATTTGTATCTCGGAAACCAAAGGGAGAAATGACACTTCTAATAGAGGGAAAGGCCGTCTGCATTGATGAAGCTCCACCAGATTCTCAGGTTGAGGATGAACTCAGGGAGCTCATAACAAATGGGCATAGTCTGTCAATGGTAATAGATGTTCATTCCTTCTATATCTTTTCAATAGGGTGTATGCCCTTTAAAGTGATTGCTAAGTTTTAGTGAAATACGGATTATACATCTACAAATCCTTTGATCTAGGGAGCATGATCTTTGTAAAATAAAGGGAGCATGGAAAGACAGAGGCAAATTGTTCTTCTCATGAAAGATATTTCTGGAAAAGAAACATGCATCTATTGGATGTTTAGTTCCTCTGAAATGCTTAATGTCTATTGTTGTAGTTTTCTTGTTGGTTAATCCTTCACTAATCTTTGCAACCCTCTTGAATGTTTCAATCGATTATCTTTCTAAGGGGATTTTCTACTGCTGGTCTTCTGTCTTCTTATCATATGATCAATTTGATTTAATATGCATAAATGGAAAAATCAATCTGAATAATCCTAATTTTTTATTTGTGCTTTCCGTGATAAAAATTCTGAACTTCTGTCAGGTATATTAACATCATTTTTTGGAATTTGGTTCATGTTGTTTCACTTGTGTGTGTGTGTGTGGGGGGGGGGGGGGGGGGCAATTCCTATGGGCTATGAGTTTTGAAACTTGATTGATGTTGAAAGTGCTTGGATGTTATTTTTCAGGAAGCGTTTTTTCAGCGTGCAGGTAATGTGTGCTTATCATATCAGCTTACATTTTTGTCTGTAAGGAAGGACATTTACCTTTTTAAAATGCCTTGTACTCAGCTGTGGTCTTCAAATGCTTGTTGAATGTTTGAATAATATTTTCTGTTTCAATGAATAAAATCAATCACTTTAAAATCTAGCAAGGCAGAAGCATATATTGATATATATCAAGATTTCCCACCCTGTATACTTTGCACCTGCCGTTATTTTTTGCCTAGTGTATATCTTAGATCAACATTGGATTTCTGCCTGTTGGATTCTTCTTCATTTTTATTGTATAAAGCTGCTGCATTTTTGTTTAATTGATTCAAATGTTCAAACTTTATTGGGTATTAGGCCATTGATATGTGATTGATGCAGGCTGTCAAGTTGGTTGCTGAAGGAACATCAAGGAAAAGGAAGGAAGTTTATGCACTTGCATTAAGGAAATTTGGGAAGCAACTTGTGGAAGAGGAATGAAATGGAGGCAAGAAATGTTTTTTCTTTAGATTTTATATTTAGGTTGCATCTTCCTCCTTTTATTTGTGTCTTATATTGTTGAGGTATTGTTTAACTACAGGAAAAGCAGAAACCATTTTTTTTTTAAAATATTTGTTAATGAGAACCTTCCGGCCTCAGAGCTAGAGAAAGAGGTATGTGTTAAGTTCCCTCGTTATACTTTTCTTATATATCTTAGATCATTGCATAGAATATCAAGGGAATCTGTTAAAGTGAACAAGGGTGGCTGAATAGTTATTCCCAACCTTAGTAGGATGATAAATTGGTAACCTTAATACGATTATTATATGGTGATTTCCAACCTTAGTAGACAAGTCCTTGGGATCAAGGGTCATGACTCATCAATCTCAGTTTTATAAATCTCTGCAGGAAGTGATGAAAGTTAATCTACATTGGTACCCAATAGTTATCAGAAAAGGCAAAAGTAAACCCTCCAAATATTGGCGCCTTATCCAGTTATCCTATCTATATTTTACATTGCCTGCCTCTTATCTACTTGGCCACCCTCTCCACCCATGCTCTCGGCCACCCATATATGAGGAATTGGGTCTCAGTAATGCCCTTAATCCTACCACCTCTTTAGAGAACATATGTGATCTCTTGGCTGATATCTTTAGCCTCAGTAAAAGCATAGAACAAGTATTCTCTTTTGTCGCCCACTTAACTTTATCTTCTATATGGAATTCCTTTGTTAATTTTATATTTAAATATTCCTCAGTACTAATTTAGTTTGTTTACTTATCATGAAGCATAGGCTTAGGTGATAAATTGGTGTTTGATTATCAAATGTTATTTTGATTAAAAAAAAAGGTGGATATGATTGGGATAATGGGGTAATTTCTTACTGGATGAGAGAGTGTGGGTCCCTTACTATTAGCAATGGGGTAGAGGGAGGTAAAAGGCAATAGTGGCCATTGTCAATATTTGATAGATTCAAACTAAATTGGGATGGGCGAAAAAGAAAAGAGAACAAACTAAATTGGGATGAAAGGATTATCTCTTTTTTTTGTTTTTTATTTTTATTTTTTTTATTTTTTTTATTTGCTATATGCGGCAACTTGGAACTCATTGCTAGGTCTAGGTGTAGTTACTTACATTATTTGCATTATTAGGTTGCAATATAGTGGGGAGCAAAAGAACTGTGGTAATCCTTGTTGGAAAGATTAATAATTCGCTAGTATAAAGCCTCAAGTTATCAGAGTACAACACCTAAAGCATTTGGTAGGCTTAAAATATTTGCCCTTCCAGAGAAGTTGTGTGCTGACTGCTGACTAAGTCTATTGCTACTCCATGCGTTTTGTCTTAATGCTCAGGCAACTGGCATTTGTCTCCAATATTATTGACTCGTGAGTTTCTCAACCCTGTCAGAGACTCAGAGTGGGTTATGTGTCCAGGTGTTAGACTTGGCTATATCGTGAAAACTATGCTCAAGTTTGCTCCATAATGAATCATTTGTTGTGCATGCACATTGCTGTGAGCCAGGTGCTTGAGATGAAATGGAGAGCCCCAAAATACAGTCTCAATGCTCTTTTATCACATTATCTGTTAGTAATATAGGCTAAAGTATAACAGTGATGCTCCTGGCTCTGAATCAAGTGTACCTGTAAGTCTGAAAAACAAGGTTCATGGAAGATATCATTACTTGATCTGATTGATGAAAGCATCTGTGCTCTACATGCTTAAAACAAAAGAGCAATATTTTTTAAATCAGACAAGGACAAAGCTTTGGCTGAAGTATAAGTAGATAGCCCTATGTTTTGATGTAAATTTGTCTTAATAAACTTTTTGCTACTTGGTCATTTCGATTATACTCTTGCATACCTTGTTAGCATTGCTACTTAATGATATACAACAAAGGGTCCCATTTTGTCATTAAGTACAACTGACTAATCATGGGTTTGCTGAGCTTGTAAGCTTAATCTTATACGAGTATTTCAATTTGTTCGGTGGCTCATTTAATTTGCAGACTGGTGGTTTTATCGGCCTTAAATTATATATGTACAATGACAAATTGTTGAATAGACTAGTCTATTTAAAAAATTGCCTACCTGACTGAAAAAATAAAATAAAATAATATATATATATATATATATATATATATATATATATATATATATATATATTCTCACTGGTTTGCAGGTTGGGGATTTTTTTAATAAAACTCAAGGGGAACAGAATGATTATATAACAATCTTTGAAAAAGTTGGTGGATGATTATTTTGGGGCATTTAAGGTTATTGACAAACTTAATAAAGGAACAGATATGGTTTACTGTGGACTGAGGTTTTTTTTCCCCTTCTACTCAGGTTGGCCTAAACTATATGGCTCCGTTAGTCTTGAATGGTCATTTCTTTTGGTTTTATGCTGGCAACTTTTTCTCATAACATCCTGTTTGTATATGATCTTGTCACTCGTTGTCACCTTATTCTTTGTTTTGGTTGCATTCTTCTATTCTGAAAGTTGCTCCTGTACTACTTCAATTATATGAGCTGATATTTTTGGCATGATAAGCTGTTGAGTAGCTAGAAGTTGAGAATACCTGCATTTAATGTTATAAATTGAACGTAAGTTTGTAACTTGCAGGTATTTTTTGCGCTACAAAAATGCAGAAGGATTCGTCGAAATTCCTTTTCAAGGGTGCAAATCAGTACAAATCAGCTCCTTGAACTTGGTTGTTGAACTGAGATACTATCATTTGTGGAAAAGTTCGTCATGTGCTGTGAAGATTTTGTTGCTGATGCAATAAAAAACGCGGTTGGTAGGAAGATTATAAGGTAATTCCCTCTTGCAGATATCAGTCTTATAGTGGCGCATGGGAAAACAGAATTGTCCCGTCACCTTTCCTTCACATGTAAGTGGTCCAACAATCCAGCTTCGAGTTTTAGACGTTCTACTATATCCTTCACTGCGGTATTACTGAAGATTACGACTCCTTTAATTAGTCTTTCGAGTTAGTATCAGTAGCATTAATATAACACTGGGACCACGATTTAGGACTTGAAAAATTGAAGACTAACTCTAAGGTATATTATATACATACTTGGCATATTTTTTATGGCTTGATGATTATCAATAATCTGATATTTTGGAGGGCAGTTAAGCAATTAGAGCCATTTATTGCAGTTTTTTGGGTTGCATTTGTGAAGTGGGCCCTTAGTTTGAATGATTGATGAGAATTGAGAAGAGAAGTCAAGCAATTGGAGCCATTTTGTACGACTAATGTTCCTAAATTAGGTTTTGTTTCCACAATCTTGGAATGTTATATCTTGAGTTACAATTCTGTTGGAGTTCATTTAAGTTCAAATTTATGTCTATGTTTTGTTATTTTCTTGGCTTTTCACTAGACTAGAGTGATATAACAATGAGATTCCGAGCATATCTGATTGAATATCAAAACTCATATATCTTCGCCCTCCTCTTGTGTTTTATCTCATGGTGATTCTGTGAACCGTGCTTCTTGCTATTTTGCAAGTAAATAATACGTAGCACAATATTTTTTGTTTTTACTCTATTGCTAAGTTTCATTACTTACCTTATTCCTCTGGAAAAATATGAAATTAGCTGATGTTGCTCTTGCTTATTTATTAGCGGTTATACAAATTTTACTTGCTATCTCATTCTTTTTTAGCCAACCAATTTCAATCATAATGAAAAGAATATTGAGAAGTTTATAGATAAACTTCTCCTTTTTTTTTTTTTTAGAAAACTTATCCTTTTACTTTCTCAAATTAAAAAAAAAATGCCATATGCTTTGTTAACATAATGGTTATTTTAGCTTCATTTTTAAAATCATGTTTTTATAATAAGGCCTAGGTCAATAAATATAGATGTAACCAAATGGTCAAATTCAGTCTCGTATACATCAATGTCCTTTGTGGGTTTAGTTGATCCTAAAATCTTACTTAGTACCTCAAATAATATAAACTCTCTTCCAACAAAGGAAATTTCCTTTTGAATTTCCGATTTCACTCTTTTAAAAAACCAATCAAGAAGCTATCATTATGTGGAGAAACTATACAATTTAGTCACAAGTCATAACACAATAACCAGGCATAAAGACTAACAATGTATTTGGGTAATGTTAAGGGAAGGAAAAGAAGGAGAGGGAGGTGAAGGGGAGGGAAGGGAAAGGAAGGAAGATGAGTTTTCCTTTCAAATCTCTCAAATGTCAGAGGGATCATTTTCTTAGAATTTAATTCCTCCATTTCTATCCTCTCCAATTCCCTTCATCCCTAATTTGTTATTCAAATGAAAGATACTTCCTCCCTCTCTTTCCCTTCCCTTCTTTTCCTTTCATTTCCTTCAATCTAAAGACACTCTAAATAAATTATAAAACAGTATAGTCTGATGTAAAATCAACAATTTATTAACATTATTTTGGTCGAATATAATCTGTATTAACATTTCGAAACAAGATAATGTTTATGAAATTGCAGTCTTTGGCGTGATTGTTCTATGATTACCCCACAAACCGAGGGAGCAGGAGTAGCATGGAACACACGAATAAGCTCAAATTCAAAGTTTTTTGTTTTTCTTTGTAACCTTATTATATAAAATTATGTAATTTACTTTATTTTAATTGGTAAACAAATCCATTATGATTGGAAGAGAAGATTTGTCAAATAGGTAGAAGCTAAGGTTGGGTACCAATTAATGATTACGTGTCGATTTTTTTTTGTTGCCATCTAACCACCACATTTAATTATAATTTTATTTTTATAATATTATTAAAATTATAATATTTATTATTTCTTTTTATTGTCCATATTAGAAGTAATGTCCAAACAAAGTGTCTTGTTATACATTTTTTTTATGTCACATGTTTTGAGCTAGAAAGTATAAACCATTCAAAAATGGATTTTTGGTTGATATTTAAGGTTCCTTCTAGGAGGCTAATTCATTACATCACCATCTAGAGGTGTATGGTACTAAACTACTAATGTTGTTGCCACATTATTGTAGTATAGTGTAGAATATGAGCTAACTATTTATTTTAGGTTGAAAGAAAATTAAAGTTGGATTAAATAACTTTTAGTCTTCTTAATTTTCTATGATGGAGTGTTTGAAATGATCATGTATGTTGACCACCAAAAGATGTGAATTTACATTAGAATTTGGTATAGTTTAATAGTGTATTGGGAAAGCAATAATGGTGGAAGGGAAGATAGCACTTAAACTTTTATGAATCTATTATTTTTTTTCGCCTATTCTTTTCTCTTTAGATTGTCTCATCCAAAACATTTCGCCTATTGTTTGTTCGGTTGTAAAATTCTGCCCAAATTTCATAAAATTGGATCGGAATAAGTGTCATGCGAACTGCGACCAAATAGCCTTAATTGGGATTTAGGCCTTTCTTGACCTATATGAGGAAGAATAGCAAAATTGTTATGTTAGAAAATTCAATCCAAATCACGCCAGCTCAAGCCATAATAGATTCGCTCCAATCCAAACATCTTGTAAAGGGGATGTTTTCAATTGTGTTAAAAGTTCATAATTTTAATGTGAACCAAATCTTCAAGGACTAATGTACAACACTTCATATAAGTCTTGGGAAGAGCAATATTGACACTTTGTTGTTTTTAGAATTGTAATCACAATTTTCCTTAAAATATTCTCGAGTGCATTTAAAACATGAGTTCTTTTCTTAGATTGTACTCCTATTTTAGACACTATTACTAGTCAAATCAAATTCATATACTCCCTCCGTCCACAATTATCTGCAACATTTGCCATAATTGGGTGCTCTTTATTATGTACAACAATTTTTTTTCTTTCCTTTTTAGTAAATTTTAAAGACTACAAATACCACCTTACCCTTACTTTTATTTTTTAACTTTGTTTAACATCTTTTAATTACACTCAATTTTCCACCTTTTTCCCACCCATAAAAGGGGCCCCTCAATTTTCCACCTTTTTACCACTCACTATAACCCACCCAAAAACAAAAAAATAAGGGACCACTTCTTTCCCTCCTTTTCCCCACTTAATTAAACCCACTCAAACTTAATTAACTTCACTAAAAGTTTTGCCTAGGAGTCCGCAAAAAGGACGTTTGGTGCAAATAATCGTGGGCGGAGGGAGTATATAAAATTGTTGTGACAGGAAAAGAAGTAAGATAAATTTATGGAGAACTCCTAGTTTATCTGTAAGGATAAGATTACATGCATTGACAAACTGTGTATTTTCGACCTCTTTGGATTGGATTGCGAAAATGATTCATCCACTCATTTAGCTACAGTAGATGTGCATTTTTTAATTTTTTTTTTACAGACTATTTAATTAAAATCAGTGGGATTAAATTGCTACAAAAATCAAACTTATAAGCTATTCTCATCTTTATTTTCACTTATATATATCATAAAATTTGAGTATAGACAGTGGCAGATCCACGAAGGCACAAGGGGTAGCACATGCTACCCTTTTAAAAAAAAAAGAAAAAAAAAGAAGAAGTTGTTCAAAGAGACCGGTTATCTTAGATAACAGGTCTCTTAGAGGCCACAACAAATTACAACAAAGCGTTGCTTTTTATGTTAAAAATATAATAGACCTGTTATATATAAAAACAGGTCTCTTAGGTTCTGGGTTTTACTTTAACTTATATTTGCACATATTTTTTTTTTTTAAAAAAATCTCATTTAAGTCATAAGAAATTATTATAAAGTAGTAGAATTTATAATTTTTAAATTATATAATATATACTTATACTTTATTATTTTTAAATCATTGTACATGATACCAAACATAACAAAAAAAAAAAAAAAAATGAAATGAGTAACTTATCATTCTTAAATACTCTTTTCATTTGACAAAATAATACTTCCATTTTTGTTGCACTTTTCAATGTATATATCTATTTGCTAAGTAATATATTTACTTTTAGCTAGTTTTATATGAGTAAAGCAATAATTTATATTAAGTAAAATAATTTCATGGTATACTTTGTATGTACTACCCTTATTAAACATATTAAATAGATTTGATCATATTGATAACTAGAATATAAATTATTCCATATTTGTGAAATGAAAATTTATCTACCAAATTGAATGTTCAAAAGTTAAAGGTTAATTATTAAACGATAATATATACGGAGTACTATAGAACTTTTTTCTATTTTATCCTTATCATTCTATGCTATCCCTAGTTAAAAATCGCGGACCCGTCACTGAGTATAGATTAGTTAATTTGAATACAAGTATTTAGGTTAAGTTATGACAATGAATATTGAATGAAGAGCACAACACCCATTGACAATTGAGTTATAGGCCTAAAGGATATCTTCTATAAAGGGTAGATACTTTTTTTCCCTTTTAACTTAGTCAAAAGTTAATAGAGACATTGTTGTTGTATATATAATGTGCACACAATACTGTTCTAAATTACTCATGCAAATCGTCACATTATGCCATACTAATTTATTTCTTATTCTAAGTGTACAAAGAACCTTAAAGCTCCACATTGTTTAAAACAAGATTAAAGACTCTCCTAGCATGGATGTCTACAACGAAATGACGCCTTAAAAAATTTTATACTTTAAAATCTTTTTTAGTAGTTAGTTATATGAGAAGAGTACCCTAGAATATAATTTTCTAGATATTACTCTCTTGAGGTGACATGCTTTGTTGCTAAGTGTAAGTATGTCGGGAAGGTTATTTTACATTATGTTAAGAGTGACTTATTTTATGAGAAATTACTTATTATATACTCTGTAATTAAGAATGTCATTAATAGAATAATATTTAAAGATAACTAATTACGTGTCTCATCTATAAATTGAGCAAGATCAGTCGCACTCGATGAATACCTACATGAAGGCAGGGGAGCAATCACAGAGCGATGCATGCTAATATGCCAATATGGAACTATCAAGGCATGAATACAACATCCCTTTTGCTTTACAAGAGGAGAAACAAACAGGTTCATATTACAGTTATTACGGAGTTTAATAATAAAGTTTGTTTAGTAACTAGTTAATTAATTCCATAACATTAAAATAATCCACCATCATTTATGACATTCTGAACATTCTGCCAAAAAATTAGCACAAACGTCCATCTGTACACAAAAAAAAAAAACTATTTATTTATGGTTATATGACCAAATTTTAGTATAAAACTTATGAGTTATGACAATTTTGTCAGTCATCTATCCTTGTTACAAATTCTCCAAGGTATATACTACAAAAACAACAAACAATGCATAAACTAATATTAACATGCGGAAATATCCCATTTGAAAGCGAAACATCATATAGCAACTAAGCATGCAAATTATGAGCATGAAAGCTACTTTACCTTAGATTATGTTATATCTAATTATTATTATCCTATGTTGTGGACTTCTAGTAACACTATTAGAATTGGTAATTTTTCATTATAATATATAGTGGTGCTTTGTACTTTAGGAATAATAGGATTTAGGTGTTTGTCTTAGTCATTTAAACTCTTTTGTAAAAGGTAAAGCAATTTTGTAATAAAATTAAATTAGAAAATAAAATTCTATGTAT